GTACCATCCTGCATAAACACATCAGCATGGCATTTTTCAAAAGACCCAGGCAAATAATCACAAAGCAACTCCAAGTAGTTAAATTGGTTCATCATCACATTCCTAGGTAGCACAACAAGATCACCAGTTCCAAAGTACAAGAAGCAACCCTACACCTTAAGTGACTCGGGATGCTTAACTGTGCTAAAAGTGAACTTGGGGTCAAGTGAATCACTCCCGGGGCTCCTGTACACATTAAAAGTACGACTTCCAGCAAAAGAAAACGTTGCCTCGTCACTCCACAGCACGTGCTGCCACTTGGTTGTATCCCACTGAGCGTTAGCTTTGGCAAAATCGACCCTACGCTGCCTCTGGACAAGGGTAAGGAGTGGCTTCTTGCGTGTGCGGTGGCTGCGAAACTGCAGGTCGTCATGGATGATGCGGTGAACGGTTCTTACAGAAACTTCACCTAGAAGTACAGGGTTTTTTCTTTAAATTCCCATGCTGACAGACGTGGATTAGCATCAAGTTGCCTCTTAAGAACAGTTAACGTGCGTTGGGAAGTTTTTCGAGCCGTCCATGGCCGTCCGCTGTGCGCTGGTATTGCCATCTCGCTGTCATCTCGAAATCGTTTAATCCAAATCTGAACTGATTGTTCACTCACACCAACAATTCTTGATATTTCCTTTACAGGTTTCTTGCCCTTATGCAGACTAATAATTGATGCTATCTTCGCTTTTGTTAAATCTATGCTTGCCCATTATGGTAAAAAAGGCAAAGAAACAACGGGCATTGTGGCAATAAATAGGGGGCAATTTCGGGGGTAAAACTCATAAATCTTCGTTCACAAAATTTACGCGGGCAACTGGTGAACGTTTTGAGTGCTGGCTGACTTGTTCTCGAGTCTCCTTTCGCTGCCAGACATACAATGCCTGCCTCAGCCTCAGCTGGCTGGAGTGGAGGGGTGTGAGACACTTCAGCAAAGATCACTTCCCGTCAGCCACCTGGAGCATAATGCAATGGCGAGGAGTGTAGGTAATTACGTTCAGTAAGCTTCCCTGTGGCGTGACAGGCAAATAGTCACACTGGAACCTGATAACCCGCGCTGGGCATTTAAACACTGGTGGGAAATTGCGAGCGTCTTAGTACGTCACCCGGGGCGAGCTAGTTGGGCATCTTAGTACGTCACCCGGGACGTATGGGTCAAGTCAGACCAGCTACTGATTTTGATACCAACAACAAACTGTACAGTACCTGTAGTTTATTAATCTTACGTAAACATTAATGCAAACAATAAATGATAATACACAAAATTAATATTAAATAACGTAGAAATAAGTACGAATATGAGCTAAATATAGAAATATGTTACACTCTCCTATTGGTCCACCCTAGCTTGTGCCTTTTCCACATTCAGTACATGCATGCTTCATAGTTTCCTCCTGAGAAGTCTTAAAATAAAGAAATTTGTGCACCATAACATGATTTTGTTATCTGGGGTGGTTACCATATAAGATGGTAATTGTCTCCTCTATACATGTATAGTTGGACTTATTAATAGTCCAATTGGTTAGAAAGATACTGTATTGACTGGATCTTGTTACTCATGCTAGTTCTAATTTTAAAATATTGAGCAATTATATTTAAAGTTAATACTGTACTGATACAGTATTTGTATTTTTCCAGTTATTGTTTACCGGAGATATCTACACTACAGCTCCATATTGTGGTCTATTCTGCAAGTAAAATTTAAAAAAAATAACACCATTGTTGTACTGTGCTACATTTACTTTATTTCATTTTATATTTCTACTCCTGTTTCATTTTCATCTGTTTGACTTAAATACAGGTATCCCTCACTATACGAACGTTCGAGATACGATAATTCACTTAAACGAATTGCCTAAATTACTGCCTCTTTTTCATGTTACAAAAGCGTCCCCCATTTATACAAATTTGGGTCCTGACAAAAATTCTAATCGCGCTCCCCCAGGAGTCAGCTGGGGTTAGCCATATCCTCCCAGCACTCTCCCTACCAGGCTGAGAATGGAGTTATATTATGGATTATTTTCAACTTGTAATTTCTGGTATATACACAAAACTTTTTTTTCTCTCCTTTTTTAAGTTACTTGCACAAATAAACCTACATACAGAATGTCAGAATGTGCAAAAAAATAAAACAATAATTATCATACGGTAAAGAACATAAAGGTATTAAACATTTCTTTGTGTACCAGCGAGAGTTAGCAGCACTATGAGCTGGGGGGAGTTATGTTACCATTTTTCAACTCATAATTTCAGATAGATAAAAATTAACTTTCTTGAATATTTTACTCAGTAAAACACACAGAATCCTATATACATAATGTGCAAAAACAAAGTAAAAGAAATAACTATCATAAGGTCAAAAACATAAAGGGAATAAACATTTCTTTGTGTGTAGAGCAGAGATGGAGCATTGCTAATGGTCGGCAGAGGCGGCCGGGCTGCATTGCTATGGCAACGCTTTAGGGCAGCCAGCATATATGCAAATGGTTCCACTAGCAGATATGATAAACTTTGATTTAGATTTTATTCAAAAGTTGTGTGTTATTTGTCTTCAATTAGGTAGGGATTTTTTCTTATTTGTTAACCGATTTTGTGTTTTGGTGGCATTTTTCTTTTGGGGAACCAAACTCAATTTTTCCCATTTGTTCTGTTATTCAAGATATGGAAATTCACTTAATGATTTTTCTTTTTACCTAACCCATTCATATATCGAGGGATACCTGTACACAACAACAGCTTAGTTTAGTTGCACAAAACCTATACCAACCTGAATTACTCATTACCATCTTTGTTTTACTGATGTTATTTAGTTTTGCCTGTCAGGAGACATTCTAATGATAAAGACTGACCACAAAGTAAGAAGGGATTAAAATAAGAGGGTGAGCAGAAAACTGAATGTAATAATGGAAAGAGGATAACTCATTTTTGAAATATAAGAAACCTTACTTTCACACATGAACTAGAATGAATACACAAGTGATATTATTCTTTCTGCCATTGTGCAAATTAACTTTGGGTACAAGTCAGCCCTCTCTTTGGACCACGTCACACGAGCATTTATGTCCTGCGCTGAAGAAGGCATGTGTTCGTACTGGCATGTATTTCACTTGTCAGTTCACCTGCATCTGACAAAAATAATCAAAGGGACTTCCATCTCCTACCAGAGATGCACCACCACTGACATGTGAGAAAATCATGCTCCTCTGCAGTACTATTGCCATATGAAAAATTCTAGAACACTCGGCATGTTTTATAATGCTGCAGTTTGGAAGTACAGTACAGACATGGAGTGAGCATCTCCCACATGTGCTGTGTGTGAACAGTCCCATTGAACTTCAATAATTTCTAAACTTCACGGGAAAAACATGCTAGTGTGAAGCAGGCCTTATCTGGCATTCTATCAACCAGCAACTCTCACTTAATGGTGCTATTATAGAAAAGGCATTACCTGACAAACTTCCCATTTATTTCATGATGCCATTTCTTTGTATTTTATGTACTTATTGATTGTTAAGTGTTTTTGTGAGAAAAAAAAAAAGCTCTGGATAAGGTTATAACTACTGTATCCGGTAAGTGAAGTGTGTGGTTTCTTCTTGCTTTCATGTGCTGTCTCAATTTATAAACCATTATTAATTAATTATTTAGTTTCAATATTGCATATACAAGTACTAAGTAAATACCTGTAGTTTGAAGCATAATTATTTAGGGTAGTTAAACAGGGATGCTTCATAGACACTAATGGTGTGTCTTGTTTATTTTGTAATCTAGTAACCTTTTGAATTTGTTTTCATCCTGTTCTGTTCTTCTGTTCCAAGTGCCTTCAGTCAGGTTGTGTAATGATAGAGTCTGATTTTAGGTTTTGTGTGTGTTGACTGGATTGTCACTCTTCTTTGGGAGTCAAACTAAATATTTAGTAGCACTTACACTACTGGCTAAGTATGGCCTGTAATAAGTAAAGCATTTGATAATTCACACTAAATTACAGTAATGACTAGGTTTCTTGTTGTTGGATGCTATAAAAAATATACCGTATATACTCGTCTATAATTCTACCTCGTTTATAGGTCGTCCCTGATTTTTTTACCAAGAAATCATTAATTTATGATATGCCTCGTTTATAGGTCGACCCAAGTTTTTGAGGGTAATGGAACAGCAAAACCTTCACTAAAAACACTCTACGTCCTATAAACTGCGGGCCGCCGTGCCTGAAACACCGAGCACCGAAGGCAAATTGTTTACCATTATTACGACACTTTACACTGAAACGCAGGTACATGTAGTTTCAGCAAAAATATTGTATACAGGTTGTACCTCTCTAGTCTGGCAACCTCGGGACCTGACCGGTGCCGAACCATGGAAATTGCCGGACCATGGAAATTCACCCTTTTCCTGGATAGATAGTGACTTGTGCTTATGCTTGGAAGCACTAGCACCACTTTCTCTGCATCATGGTCTCTTTGAAGACATATTGAAGGGTTAAATGTCGTATAGTAGCTTCTCAAATTTCGCGAGTTTTTAATTCTTAACGTATTTTATTGGAACACAAAAAAATAAATAAATAAAAATTTTGACGGCGGAAACTTGAATTTCGACGGGTTTGAACGGCCCGCCAACGTGCAGACGACGTGCATAATCGTGTAAACAGCGTCATTTCTCTTATGTACAAAAGATTCATTATTGTTTATTACTGAATGTCTTTTTTATTGAATTAATGTTTATGTGTGCAAAATGAGCAATACAATTCATTAATAATACGTAGAATATTAAAACACACGAGGAAATGACACAGCATTGTTTTCGTTGATTACAAAACCAGTGACTGACTGGTTCTACATATAAAACTGAAGAAAATAAGACCCTGGCTGTAGCTGTAGTAAAATTAATATGGTTGTTTAAAGTAATGTTATTTAATGTTAATAAATGGAACAATAGCAGTAGCTAACGATAATGGTAAAGAAAAAAGAGAGATCGTGTATGTAAGTGCGCATGCGCACATGTGAAAACATATCGTCATTACTTTACATAAGAATATGAAAGCAACACTTATTTACTGTTCATATATATTTTAATTAATGTTTCTGAATTTGTTTTTATTGAATTAATGTTTGTGTGCAAAATTAACAATACAATTTATTAATAATACGTGGAATATTAGAGGAGACGAGACGGCTGCCGGCATTGTTTATGTTAAAGCTTACAAAACCAGTGACTGATTGGTTCTACATATAAAACTGAAGAAAATAAGACCCTGATTTTAGCTGTAGTAAAATTAATGTAAAAAAATTAATATAGTTGTTTGAAGTACCTGTAATGTTATTTAATGTTAATAAATGGAACAATATAAGTAGCTAACCATTAATGGTAAAAAAAAAGTGAGACTGCACGTATGTAAGTGCACACATGTGAAAACATATCATCATTACTCTACATAAGAATATGAAAGCAACACTTATTTACTGCTCATATATATTGAAGGGTTAAATGTTGTACTCTGTATAGACAAGCAGAGAGAGAGAGAGAGAGCAGCCGAACTGCCGGATGTAAACAAACCTTAATTTCCCGCGGCTTTTTTTTTTTTTTAAGGGGATTAGCCCACCCGGGCATAGGTCACTGACCCACATTGGGGCCTGAGGGGCAAAAATTTAATACTCCTGTAATAATAATAATAATTCAGATAAGTAAAAAAAAAAAAGAGCTGCCTATCTACCTATTGGACAAACTAAAGTCGTTCCGGACCATGGGAGTTTCCGGACCACAGAATGCCGGACTAGAGAGGTACAACCTGTATTTCCATTCAAGTCAATTAGGAGGGAATATTATTGTAATACAACAGTTTTTTTTTTAACTGAAAACCATTTGAAAAGCGATTACGGTAACAGCTTTGAACAACGAAAGAAAGCAAAAGTCAATTGTTTTTGTCATGGTTTTATCCCACTTTCCACTGTAATATGTACGTCATTTCAGCAAAAATATTATATTTCCGTGAATGTATTATATCAAGCACAGTATGAATAGAATATCATTGTAATATAACAGTATTTAACTGAAAACTATTAAAAAAACGAGTTAGGTAAAGTCTTTTCTTTTCGTCATGTATTTTATCCTATTTTACATTGAAACACATCACGTTTCAGCAAAACTACTATTTATTTCCGAGAATATATTCATTCAGGCACAGCTAAGGTAAAATATACTTGTGGTGTAACAGTTTTTAACTGAAAGTTATTCGAAAAACACATGTACCGTCTAGCTGATACTCAACAGCTGGTGGTGCGTCGTGCATCGTTGTAAACAATATGAGGTTGAGGTGGATTATTATATTAAGTGTGAAATATCGAAAAGGTTTTTATTACCGGTATTTTTTGAAGATAAATGAGTACTGTGATACCGTTTTTGGTATAATAAGTTAGCCTGTTCTAAGAACTTCAACATAGACTACTGAAAGCACGTTGTAAGGTAAGTTAGCCTATTGTATGTTGGTGAGCTTCATCTGCTGAAGGCATTGCACAGCTTTTCATTACTAATTAGTACATATTTTACATTTCCATTGTTTACCGGCAGTAAATGGTAAATATTTTTCATGTCTAAAGCTAAAAGTTGCTCCTCGCCCTTCCCATCATGCACGGATTCAACCTAACAAAACTATTACCCATGTAGAGGTCGACCCCCGATTTTTTGCCTAAAAATTTGGTCTTAAAAACCCGAACTACACACGAGTATATACGGTAAAACTTGAGAATTAATTAATTGTTAATGGCTTAAAATGAAATTTCACATAATCTTTTGGAGATTACATAATTATTTTATGCAATTGTGTAATCATTACACATGATGTGGAAGTCAGAATGAGTTACTAAATGGATATATTGGACAGTTTTAGTTCACTAATATGCTGAAGGATCTTGGGCTTTTGTTGGTCTTAATAGTTTCTTAACAACTATAATTCTGATGTTTACACGTCTCATTAAACTTTGTTTCTATTTTGAAAAAGGATTTACAAATAGAAATAAATTTTACATTTATTGAGAAATAAAATGTACATGTATGATGCAATGAAGTGATGTTATTTGTAAAATCAAAGAAAAAAGTTGCACAAGACCCTTTATCATTATACAGTGATATCTCCATTAGCCGGAACAATTGGTACAGAGCGCTTCCGGGAATGAGAGATTTCCGGGTAACGAGACGACTTTCTCAAAGCCGGTAAATATCCCTCATCCCAGGAATTTTCCGGGTAACGGAAAAATTTTCTCGGAAGTTCCAGAAATTGCCCAATACATCATCTCTCAAACCCGGAAAAGTATCCCCCATCCCTGGAATTTTCGGGTACTGGAAATTTTTTCTCAAAATTTCTGGAAAATGCACCTAATTTTCATCTCTCAAACCGGGAAAAAAAAAAAAACCTCCATCCCCAGAATTTTCAGGGTATCAGGAAAATTTTCTTGAAACTTTTGTAAAAGCACCTTTGCTTTATATAAATATTCACCCACATGAATAACATCAACTTATTCACCAAGTGACTCGACATGTTATTCACGTCAGATACTTAGCTTGCAACTTCCTCAAAGGTTGAGCGCAGGTCAGCTGATTCATCAAACAACCGGCTCGCTCTCTCACGCCCAGAGAAGGTAGTAGACTATCACCACTTGGACAGCAATCCCTGTTCACACTGAGAGGTTCAGGGATCGAATCCTAACAAGTGAGGTATTGTTTGTATATGGAAGTTCTCGTGCTATATGAACTACAGTGGGGTATGCTATAACGAACGGATCCTACTACGAATATTCCTATAACGAACGGTTTTACCTATAAAATTGAGAATGCTATAACGAACGAAACTCCTACAACGAACATAATTTAAATTTTTTTTTTTTTTTCTAATTTATTGTTTTATTATTACAAATATTAATGATATTCTTTATTTCAGGGGTTTAGATGCATATTTATGCATTTTTTTACAATTTTTACAGTTTTATATTATATTTTTCAATGTTAAGTGGTTGTATTTGGGGGCCTGGAACGGATTAATCCTATAACAAACGATTGCTATAACGAACAAGGTTCTAGAACCAATTAGATTCGTTATAGCATACCCCACTGTAATGATTTACACACCTATTTTTGAAATAACGCGCTCAAGTCATTTTAAATTTGCCGTGCATTCGCCTGGCAGCTAAGTCGAGTGTGATGCCTGGTTAGGTACTTATACCCCTCTGTAGTACAGTGTAAGCTAGGTAATTTCAGGCGCTCTAATGTCTTAGCGTAGCTGAGGTGCCGCAGTGCAGGCACCAGTCTGGTGGCCCTCCTTTGGACATTTTCAATCAACTGACAGTCCCCAGCATATCTTGGGGACGAGATGGGGGGTGACAGTACTCCAAACGGGGAAGCACTTCACTCTTGAAGAGCGTTACAAGGGACGGAACGTCTAGATATCTGAACGACCTTATAAGACCCAATAATCTAGTTGCCTGATTTACCTTCTTCTCACAATGACCCGAGAACTTCAGCTCATTGTCAACGTACACACCTAGGTCCTTTTCACATTCAGTCTCAATTAATGCAGTTTCTTCATCCCGTTGGGACATATAATATGCCTGCTTACCGTTGGTACATCACAGGTGCAGCTTCTTACACTTCGTGACATTGAATCTTAGCAGCCATTTCTTCAACCGTTTTTGAAGCTCACAGAGATCCCTCTGCAGTTCTTCACAGTCCACTTGGCTCTTAATTTCCCGAAATAACTTGGCGTCATCCGCAAACATTTGTATGGAGGAATGTACAGCTTCAGGCATGTCATTTATGAAGCAAACAAACAACAGCGGGCCCAATACACTGCCCTGTGGTACCCTGCTTGTGACGGGTACACATGAATGATTTCGTGCCATTAATCACCACACACTGCTTGCTGTCATGTAGAAAGTTTTCGATCCACGCTAGGACATTCCCCGAATCCTTGTATTATCCTGTACTTCACCTCGTAATTTGGGCACGTCGTATCTTCTTTGGCTTAGGGCGGCTGGCTCCAGGTAATGCA